GAGGTGCTGCTGCTGGAGACACTGAGACTGGAGACCCTGGGACTGGAGGTGCTGGCTCTGGGGGTGCTGCTGCGGGAGACACTGCGGTTGGAGACCCTGGGGCTGGAGGTGCCGGTTCTGGGGGTGCTGCTGCGGGAGACACTGCGGCTGGAGACCCTGGGACTGGAGGTGCCGGTTCTGGGGGTGCTGCTGCTGGTGACGCTGGTCCTGGAGGTGCTGGCGCTGGAGGTGCCGGTTCTGAGGCTGGAGCTTCTTGAGCTTCTGGAGCTGCTGGAGGCACTGGAGCTGCTGGAGGTACTGGAGCTGCTGGAGCTGCCGGTGCTGGTGCAGCTGCGCCGACACGACTGTTCTTCGCTCCGCCGTCTCTATCGTTTCTGCCGCAGCCTGACTCTGTTCTTCGTCAGGTTCTTACTCTCCCGTCGTCTACTGGTCTTCCGCTACAGCCTGGCTCACCGCTGCCTGCTCACTCTACTTACACTGAGCAGGCAGGTAGTCCTGCTGAGCGTCGTGAGCCTGCGTCGCGTCCTGTCTCGCCTGTTCGTTCTGGTCGTACCGGTCGTCGTGTTTCTCGTGCGCGTCAGCCGGCTGTCCCCAGCGCACACCTCGTAGTCCGTCGTCCTTCCTCTGCTCCGCAGTCTGCTCCTCTGCCGTCCCCCCCTTTGCATCCTCTCTGCCTGCCGTTCCGGACCCTGAGTCTGACAGGTTTCGTGCTGAGCACCCTACTGTCACGCGTCTGTTAGCCACTGTTGTCATTGACCCGTCGTTTGAGTCTACTGCTGCGTCTGCCTTGGTTGCTGAGCTTGTTGACTTTGCGGCTGCCTGTCGTCTAGACTACGCTGCCGCTGGTCTTGTTGCTGAGTCTGAGTCTGTCTGTCCTCCGTCCGTCGGGGGTGAGTGTGCTCTTAGCACGGACGTCCTTGAGGACAGGCAGGAGGAGTTTCAGTGTCTTGCTGCTGCTTTACCTCATCTCGTGTCCTCGCTGCTTCCCCATGAGGGAGACCCGGATGCACCAGACATCCTGACCCCGCGCTCTTACGCAGAGGCGATAGAGGGTCCCTACTCCTCTCAGTGGCAGGCAGCCATGGACGCAGAGATGGCTTCCTGGAAGTCCACAGGCACCTACGTTGACGAGGTTCCCCCACCTGGGGCGAACATTGTCAGTGGCATGTGGATTTTCAGGGTGAAGCGGCCGCCGGGTTCTCCGCCTGTCTTCAAGGCGCGTTACGTGGCTCGAGGCTTCAGTCAGCGGCAGGGAGTTGACTACTTTCAGACCTTCTCTCCCACCCCGAAGATGACCACTCTTCGGGTACTGCTGCACATAGCCGCTCACCGCGACTACGAGCTTCACTCTCTTGACTTCAGCACAGCTTTTCTACAGGGCAGTCTGCACGAGGAGATCTGGCTGCGCCGCCCACCTGGCTTTACTGGGTCGTTTCCTCCTAGTACCCAGTGGAGCCTCCGGCGGCCAGTCTACGGTCTCCGCCAGGCGCCTCGTGAGTGGCACGACACACTGAGGACTACGCTTGCGGCTCTTGGGTTTGCTCCTTCTACTGCCGACCCGTCGCTGTTTCTACGCACCGACACCTCTTTGCCGCCGTTCTACATCCTCGTGTACGTCGACGACTTGGTCTTTGCTACAGCTGACACTGTTGGACTCGCCCACGTGAAGTCCGAGCTCTAGAAGCGACACACGTGCACAGACCTGGGTGAACTGCGCAGCTACCTCGGCTTGCAGATCACCCGGGACAGAGCACGGCGCACCATTACACTGTCTCAGTCACACATGGTGCAGCAGGTCCTTCAGCGCTTCGACTTCACGTACTCCTCGCCTCAGGCCACTCCTCTGTCTACTCGCCACTCGCTCTCAGCTCAGCCTTCGGATGAGTCCGTAGAGCCGAGTGGCCCGTACCCAGAGCTTGTTGGCTGCCTCATGTACCTGATGACCTGCACACGACCTGACCTTGCATACCCTCTTAGCATCTTGGCACGCTATGTTGCTCCTGGGAGACACCGACCAGAGCACATGGCTGCAGCGAAGAGGGTGTTGCGCTACTTGTGCAGTACGTCGGGCATGGGGCTAGTGCTTGGAGGGCAGAGTCCAGTGGTCCTCACTGGTTACGCAAACGCGTCTTGGGTTGACGACCTGGCTACGCAGCGGTTGTCACAGGGTTACACCTTCAGCCTTGGTTCCGGCTCTGTTTCGTGGCGGTCTACCCGCTCGTCCTCTGTTCTCAGCTCCAGCTGTGAGGCTGAGATCTACGCAGGAGCCATGGCTGCACAGGAGTTACGCTGGCTCACCTACCTGCTGACTGACCTGGGAGAGCCGCCTCGTTCTCCTCCAGTTCTGTACGTAGACAACAAGGCCATGCTGGCCTTGTGTCGGGAGCACAGACTGGAGCACAGAACGAAGCACATTGCTCTTCGCTACTTCCTTGCTCGTGAGCTGCAGCAGCGTGGACAGCTACGCCTTACTTACGTGGCCTCTCAGGCCAACACTGCTGATATCTTTACCAAGGCACTCCAGCCTTGTGATCATCAGCGCTTTTGTACGATGTTAGGTCTTGTGCCTACCTGGCCTCACTTGCTTACCTCTTGACCTTGCTTTGTACTGTGTTCTATATATACCTGTTAAGATAGTAGCTAGAGGTGAGGAGCCATGCTAGGGTGAAGAGGAGAAAGTGTCGAGAGAGTTTAGGCAAGGAAAAAGGGGTTTCACTATAGCACACAAGGTACATATAGCAAAGTAACAAAGAAGGTGCACCACCAACTCTTAATAATAATAACTACAGTACCTACAGCACGCAGGGTATATATTAAACATATTGTTTGACACACCCCCTTAGCCTGCGTGCGGTAGAAACTGGTGCAGCCAGCACCCCCTGAACGAGCAAACCAAGCGCTGTGGAAGAAGGCAGAGAAGTGAGGAAGGTGAGAGGAGAGGAGAGAAGAGGAGAGGAGAGGAGAGGAGAGGAGGTGGGGGGCCAGGACCGGCGGACCCGCTTACGAACCTCCTTTTACAAAGGGGAGGTGAGAGAGGGAAGGGAGAGGAGGTGGGCTAGGCGGGCTTGAGCGCGAAAGCTCATAGCGATCCCCCCCCGTTAAGAACCCCCAAGTCCCGATGAGGAGAGGAGGTGGGCTAGGCGGGCATGAGCGCGCACGCTCAATGCGATCCCCCCCCGTTAAGAACCCCCTAGTCCTCACCCCCTCGTCACTCAACCCCGTCAACCTCACACCTTCCGCACCTGTCTTCTCCCGCCACCCCCTCACCCTTCTGCACTTCTCTCCCCCGCCCCCCCTTACAGCAACAGTTGCTGCAGGGAGAGAGGAAGAGGGAAGGGAGGGAGGAGTGGCAGGCTCCTCACACCCGCCCCCCCCCCCCCCCCCCCTACAGCAACAAGTGCTGCAGGGAGAGAGGAAGAGGGAAGGGAGGGAGGAGGTGCTGGCTCCTCACAACCTCACACCCGCCACCCCCACATCTCCCCCTCCTCCCCCCCCCCCCACGACGGAAGCAGTGGAAGGGAGGGCGGGCGGGAGGGGGCAGGGCGGCGGTAGCTGCTGCTGGCGCTGGCGGTAGCTGCTGCTGGCGCTGGCGCGGGCGGCTGGCGCTGGCGGTAGCTGCTGCTGGCGCTGGCGGTGGCGGCTGGCCGCGGTGGTGGCGTCCGCGCTGACGGGCCACGCTGGCGGCGGCGCCTGCGGTCCGGGCTGGCGCGGGCGCTGGCGACGGAACGGGGGGCCGCGAGGCGACGAAACGGGGTTCGCGGACGACGGGAACTGGGGGGCAGCGGGCGACGGGCAGGGCGTCCGCGAGGCAGCCGACGTGGCACGTTCGGGGGGACGGGCAGGGCGCGCGTGACGGGCGAACGGGGAGAAAAAAAAAATAGCGCATTTCGCGCTGTAGTACGGGCGGGCCCATGATTCTTAAAAAAAAAAAGAGAAGGTTCCGGGAAAGAACCAGCTCTGTACCATGTTAAGATAGTAGCTAGAGGTGAGGAGCCATGCTAGGGTGAAGAGGAGAAAGTGTCGAGAGAGTTTAGGCAAGGAAAAAGGGGTTTCACTATAGCACACAAGGTACATATAGCAAAGTAACAAAGAAGGTGCACCACCAACTCTTAATAATAATAACTACAGTACCTACAGCACGCAGGGTATATATTAAACATATTGTTTGACAATACCTGCTTTTGCTTGTTTCCCTTAATATTTATAATCCTGCATGTGAACTGGCCTTGTGGCCTTGAACCTGTGCTCGGAATGTGTGGTGACGTTGTGATCCACCCTGAGCTTGTTTTGCTTTGACTGGTCTTGTGACCTTTAGGTCTTCCCCACTTTGTGTCAAACTTATATGAGATTGCATATCTAGGCTCTAGTGGTGTAGACACTATAGGGTACATCATTTCTAGGGTTTCCTACTTGTACCCACTTCTCTCCTAGTCATTTCATTCCTCTCTCTTCCACAAAACCACCCAGCATATTCCGCAATTTATTATGAGTTTCATTTGCCAGCAACTTCTTAGATAAAACTGGCAGTAAATTGATTGCTCATATATGAGTGGTCATGACTCGTATTGTTCCTGCACTGGCAAGGATACTCTGCAGTAACTGCACTGACGAAGCAACTTCTCACACCCAACATTCCGTTGCCACCTGTGACCTATTCCTCTGCATAACCCAACAAACAAAAGAAGGTCGCAGTGCCACAGCCACACTTATTAAACAGCCCCTTTTTGGAACACCACGGAGACATATCGGCTGCTTATACATGGTGGTGCTGTCAGCCTGTCCCCTGCCCACCCTCCACTCTCGCTCTCTCCCTCCCCGTCGTAAACAAGTTACAGTAGTTGTTCCGAACAGTGTCATCATGGTCTAGGTACATACGGTAGCTGCTCTGTGTGCCACGTCACTCAACAGTGTGCCACGTCATTCAACAGTGTGCCACATCATTCAACAGTGTGCCACGTCATCAGCGGGGCGCCATGTCAGGATGCGGTGCCATGTGGTTGTCAGTCCACGTGTTTCCTGATGAGGTCGAGCACAATGCGCTTTCGAAAGTATTCCATGTCTTTCTGCGAGGGGTAGTGACAAACAGAGGAGAGGGGGGGAGGCAGAGAGAGACAGAGCGTGGGAAGCAAGACGTTAGCACGAACGTGGAGGTTCGAGCACAATGCGCTTTAGAAAGTATCCCACGTATTTCTGCGAGGGTAGCGACAAATAGAGGGAGCAGGGGGAAGCACAAATGTGAAGGTTCAAGGACCAAGCGTTTCGGGGAACGGACAATGCGCTTTCCGACTGACTGGCTGGCTGCCTCACTCAACTGCGCACTGATTGACACACTGATCGACAGACAGACAAACCGACCGATGGACGGACGGACGGACGGACCTGGGAGAAGTTGTAGTGAGAGCCCATGGCCCGCGCCTCACACTCGGCAAACACATGCAATCGGCGTGCGAGGAGTCAATTTGTGAGGCGCCTCAACAACAGACTCACATACCGACCGACTGACTGACCGACTGACCGACCGATGGATGGACGGACGGACCTGGGAGAAGTTGTAGTGGGAGCCCATGGCCCGCGCCTCACACTCGGCAAACATGAGCATGAACACCCCGCAGTCCCACCTGCACTCATGGCACCATGGGGGGACAGGGTGACACGCACAGGGATGACGGATACACATCAGTGTCTACAAGGAAGGCGAGCGACGGAAGGAGGGAACACACACAAAGTGAGAGCAGGCGCACTTTACAATTCCTCCCCTCCCTTCAATCCCCTTCCCACTCCCCGCCCTTTCTGCCCCTCCCCTCCCCTTCTCTCTCAAACACAACCCCCCATTCCCCACGCTTTCCTGTCACACTACCCCAACCCCACCCCCTTCCCTGCGCTCTCACGTGTTCATCTGCTGGGGGATTTTCCTCGGGAAGCACCGCTCCCACCCACTCGTGTCCACCTCCTGGCCTGTCTTGTCCCTCACCTCGTCCGCATAGTAGCGCGCCTGGGGGGATGGGAGAGAGCGAGAGGGGGAGGGGAGGCGGAGGGGAGGGGGAGGGGGAGACGGGGTGAGCTACATTGAAGACATTATTCAGGTTTCCCACTCGTGTCCACCTCCTGGCCTGACTTGTCCCTCTCCTCGTCTGCATAGTAGCGCGCCTGGGGGGCCGGGAGGGGAAGGGGGAGGGGGCGGAGGGGCAGAGGGGAAAAAGGGGCACCTATATCGGAGCCGCATTTGAGGGGTCTGTAACGTGTCCACTACCTTGCCTGCAGGCTGGAAGGGGAAGGGGGAAGAGGGAAGAACGGGAAGAGAGGGAGGGCGGGAAAAGGATGAGAAGAGCAGGGGGGAGAAAGGAGGGACAGCCGTAGGGAGGTTGAAAGTGAGGGCTATGGAAGGATTCACAAGAGTGTGGAGAGAAGGAGAGGTGGAGAGATGGGGAGATGGAGAGATGGAGAGGTGGAGAGGGAGGGGAGCAAGAAGTGGTTCAAGCAGAGTTTGGTGTGGAGGGAAAAGGGAGGGAAGAACATTCACTCAACTCAGCTCTCACGCCCCCACTCGCTCCCCCCACACTCGCCCACCCCCACTCGCCCACCCCCACTCGCCCACCCCCACTCGCCCTCCTCCCCTCGCCTCCCTTACACGCACCAGGTTTTCAAGGCAGGTGTGGTCCTGGCCGTGCAGGGAGTCGAGGAAGATGAGGCGCTTGTCCCCTGGCACAATGACCGCCAGCACCCAGTGCACGCCCTGGTGCACTGGTACTATGATCTGACGGGCAGACACAGTGGGGGGTGCAGAGCAGAGGGCGTGGGGACATGGAGCGAATATTTTGGGAATTCTCAAAAGGCGGGAAGCAGCGGGGGAAGACTAGATGCTGCTCCTGCAGCACAATGTCAGCCAGCAACCAGTGCACGCCCACGTCAAACCCCTTACTCCCCCCTCTTCCTTCCCCATTCCCGACTCCCTCCCCCCCCCCCAAGCCTCTCCCCCTGCACTGCACACCTTCTCCCTGCACACCTCTCCCCTGCACACCTCTTCCCTGTACCTATACCTGTCTCATCAGCCGCACCCCAGCCCCAGCCCACCTTGTCGCAGTCAGTGAGCGAGTAGCCCAGGCGCTTGGGGGTGGTCCAGCGACGCACTGAGTTGTAGAGGTACTGGCCTGTGCCCGTGAGCTGGTGGGGGGTGAAGAAGACACATGAAGGGAGAGGTAGAGGCAGAGTTCACTTTTGAGGCGCCTCAAAGGGCGTTTAGGAGTGGTCCAGCGACGTATTGAGTTGTGGAGGCACTGCTGCCCTGTGCCCGTGAGCTGGTAGGGAGGAAGAAGACACATACACATGCAGGAAGAAAGAGAGGCAAAGGCAGAGGCACAGAGAAGCAAACACACATATGCACATACGCACACGGCACGCACATACAACGTGCATGGACATGGAGAGGCAATGGCACGTGGAGGGAATAGTAGGAGGAGGCATGATCGAGGGGGGAAGGTGGAGTGGGGAGTGGTGAGGGGGAAGGGGGGAGAGAAGAAGATGGACGAAGATTATGTGCAAGTGACAGGGAAAGCCCATGCACTTAGATGACCTTTCTTAAGGTGCGTAAAAAACAGGCAGTATAATGAAAAGGCAGCTGCACCAGCAGAAGCTGCTGCTACTGATGCTGCTATAGCATCCTCCTGCAACGCCTACCCTCCTTGCCACGACCCCGCAAGCACGACTTTCAAGGAGCCTCAGAAGTAAACCAAGGAGGAGCAATTGACTTATGAGGTGCCTAAAGAAAGCCTTGCAAGCACGACAATTGAAACTTAACGCCAATATAGCTCATCCGCACTCACCCACTCTCAACTGCACTCACCCACGCTAACCCACTCGCACCCGCACTTCTTCAACTCGTTCTTTTATGCGCAGGACAATTAGTGCCTGCCCTTCATCGAACACCCCCTGCACTGCACTGAGCCGCGCATAAAAGAACGAATTGAAGAAGTGGCACATGAGCCTTCTGCCTGGCCCATTCCCCATTGCTGCTACCCTGCCCCACCTGTCCCCGACATCCCCCATATCCCCACATCTACCCATGCCCCCGCCCTCCCCCCATTGCACTCACCCAAGCGTAGAAGAAGGAACTAAAGAAGTGGCACACGGGCGTACCACCTTCCCAACCCCATCTTGTCCCGTTCCTAACCTGCTCCACCCCATCCAGTCCCTCCCCGTCCACAGAACTTTGTTCCACTGACTGACCCGCGCGTAAAAGAAGGTATTGAAGAAGTGACACACAGGCATGCGCCCCTTGCTGCTGGGCTGCTGTGTGCGCCTCTCCCGGTCCTTGAGCAGCTCTAAGTACATGTTGATCACCTGGGGGAAAGGAGGGAGGCGGAAAGGGAGACAGGGGAGGGGAACGAGGGACAAAGGGAAACAGGTGCAGGGGATGGACATGCTGTGTGCGCATCTCTCTGTCCTTGAGCAGCTCTAAATACATGTTGGTTACCTGGGGAAGAGGAAGGGGGAGGGAGGAGAGAGACAGAGGCAAGTGGAGAGAGGGAGAGGGGAGAGTGGTAGAGAGGGAGAGGAGCACGGGGAAGGAAGGGGGAAAAGAGGGGGGAGGAGGGAGCGGGGAACCGTGGGAAACGAGAGGGAAAGGGTGAGAAGCGGTTAAAAGTGAGAAGCGGGGAAGAGTGAGAAGCAGGGAAGAGTGAGAAGAGGGGAAGAGTGAGGAGGGGAAGAGTGAGAAGAGGGGAAGAGTGAGAAGCGGGGATCAGTGAGGAGCCGAGAAGAAAGAACACTATGTGTGGGCCTACACAGGCACAACCAGATAGAGGTTGACATTAATTTTGAGAATTGTAAAAAAAAAAAGAGTAAACTTTTGAGAATTCTCAAATGTTGACACATTTTGGGTGCCTCACATACAACCTCAACAACCCATCACATACAGTTGCCCAGCCATCCATTCTACTAACACTCCCCCCTTTCCCCCCCTTGCCCCTGTTTCCCCCCCCGTTGCCCCTGTTGCTCTTATTCCCCCCCAGCCCCCCACCTTCCCGTTCCCCCTTCCCCTCCCTTCCCCCCATTCCCCCCATTCCCCCATTCCCACAAGTCCCCCCCTGGATGAACCTCGTCGTTGAGCCATCCTCCCGGCATGAGGCAGTGCATGAGGTTGCGCGTGACTATGATGTTGGACCTCTCGTGGAACGCCAGCTCCTCCCCGCTGTGCCAGGACGCATGGGGGGCAGACGGGTGGAAGGGGATGCAGTGCAAGGCGGTACAGAGGGATGCAACGAATGGAAGGAATGAAAGGGATGCGGGGGCTGCACTGCAGGGGATGGGGAATGGGCCAAGTATACAGGGGTAGGGAAGGCACACTTTCAAAGGAAGGAAGGGGCAATAGTATAAAGGACGAGGAAGGCAGTTTGACGTGGGATGGGATGGGAGTAGCATCTGTGGTGGGGTGAGTCAGGGAGGGACGTGACAGGCAGGCTGATTCCTCTGTCCAGTAGACTGCGCTGCGCTGTGCTGTGCTTGTTCGCGCCTCACAGGTGACTAGTTCTGGGAAGAAAATGAGAAGGACGATCTGAAGAGGATATGGCAGTCGATCTAGGGAGTGCTGACAAGTGTCTCTTGTGCACGGAGATCCAAGAACAGCACGGAGAGGACGGGAGAGACGGAGGAGGGTGGAAAAAGACGGAAGCGGGGAGGGAGGGAGGTTGGAGAAAGAGGGGTTGAAGGGAAGGGAGCGGTGGAACACAGAGAGTAGTCGTGAAAGAGACCACAGTTGATGGATGAGACAGCGAAAGAAATCATTTAAGAATCATTCCTTTGAGTGGACTGTCAAAGATGTGAGTGATGAGTCGTTTGTTGAGCGGACGGAATGATGAAAGGGATTGAGAGAGACTCTCACGCATGCAAGTAACAAGGCGTATGCTAGTCATGAATAGGTCCCTTTTCATGACCAGAATCCACTGTGTGCGGTAACAAACAGAGTGGAAAAACAACCGGCGCCCATTGACGACCAACCAGCGCCACTCATCACCAGCGCCCAGTATTACGGCACGCACCTGTGTCCCCCTTGGAAGGCGCGCCTCACTTGCTTCTCCTCCTCCTCTGATAACACCCGCACCACAGGCTGTGTTGCAACGGAGGCAGTGGAAATGGAGGGAGGTGGGGAGGAGGAGAGAGGGGAGAGGGAATGAGAGGGAAGAGAGGGAATGAGAGGGAAGAAAGGGAAGGAGAGAGGAAGAGAGGAGAAAGGAGCGCAGTGGAGACATGAGGGAGTGAGAGGGAGAACAGGACTGGAAAGGAGGAAATGCATATAAAGGAGAGGAAACGTTATTTCTCTGTTGTGCTTCTTAACATGCTGCATGCAGCACCGTGCTGAAACAGAACCACAAAGCCACACGCCCATTCTCAGCCGCCCTCAACTCAATGAGCCACAAAGCCTCATCCCTCCCTCACCTCTACGCCTAGGAGATTCCCAAGGCGCCTTAAAAAAAAAGACTTGCAGCCAACCTTTTCCCCTGCACATTCCTAATGCACACAGATGTAGACACCGTCACGCGCACCTTGGCCTTGGCGCGCTGTAGCTCCTCCACTTTGGATCTGCGCTCCTGTGCGCGCTCCTTCGTGCCCCTCCTCTCCACGTGCGCCCTCGCCATTTCCCTCTCCAGTTCCTCCATCTGCGCCCTCCGCTCCTCCTCCTCCTGCTCCTTCTCCCGCGCGCGCAGCTTCCATTCCTGCTGGATCCGATTTCGCTCCACGCGCAGGCGCTCAGAGGTTGTTACTGTCGCGAGAGCAGCTTTCTCAGAGGACGCCAGAGCGGAAGGGTCAGCACCTGCTGCTGCTCCCACACTTGCTTCGATCACAGCAGCAGTGGCACCGATGGCAGGAGCAGGAGCACGGGCAGCGGCCGTGCCAGAGGCAGGGGCTGCTGCTGCTGCTCCTGCTGCTGCCGCTGCTGCTGCAGGTAATATAGGTGCAACGCCAAACACCGCTTCTTCGCCAGCTTCCCATCGCTCCTCTCCCTCCTCTCCCTCCTCCAAATCAACTGGTTCCGCTCGCTCGGCTTGCGAAGGTTTTCCAGCGACCCCTCCGTTGTGGCGCGGAGCTGTGGCTGTTGAATGGGAAGAGATGGATGGAGGGAACGAGTGAGAATGTATAGCGCTCAAGCTGGTATGTAAGGAAGCACGGCAATGAAAAACGCAAGAGTTTGAAGCGTGGGAGAGGCGGGGAGGAGGGGAGAGGGAGGGAAGGGGGGAAAGGTGGAGGGGCAAAGGAAATCTCGAAAGGAACATGCAAGGGGCGGGATAGCGAGTGGGGTGGGGGGCAGAGGGAAGGCGAGAGGAGGCGGGAAGGATAAGAAGGGGAAAGGGCGTGGAGGGGGAGGGGAGGGGAGGGGAGGGGAAAGAACGCAGACGAGACTCTCGAGCTCACACTAAAAACGACTCCCCTTCCTTTCCTTTATCCACCCGCCCGTCTCACCAAGCAGAGCGTCTAACCCCGGCCTCCCCTCAAACCGCTGCCTCTGCTCCTCCATCTCCCTCGGGGTTATGTGCGCGCCCCGCTCCACCATCCGCTTATACTCCGCCATCTGCTGCCAGCCCACCACCTTCCGCGACACCCCGATCCAATCGCGCGTCACCGCCCTTGCCGCTTCTTCCTCCGCCGCCCGTGATGACCCTCCTACCCCTCCTCCTCCCCCTCCTGCAACGCGTGCTCGTGCTGCTCTTGCAGGTGGAGAAACCGCGTTCTTTCCAGACCCTCTCACCCCCGACTCCCTCCGCTTCTTCCTGTCTAGAGTCTCGTTCCACCGATCCTTTCGCCCCGGGGAATGGAACGATCTCGGCACTGCGGCCGTTCCAGCTGCTGCTGCTGCTGCTTCTCCTCCTCCTCCTCCTCCGTCTTCTATCTTCCATGGGCTCGAAATGATCTGCACAGCCCCACCCCGCCTGTCCGAACCCATAGCTCCACCGATCGACAACGCAACCAACGCCTGCGGATGCGCCTGCGGATGCGCCGGCGCATGAGACGACGCAAGCGCTTGCGCGAGAGCCTGCCGCCGATCCTGCAGCTGCGACTGCATAATCGCGTGCGCGCGCGGTTGCTGCGCGGCCCCACCAGGCGACGCGAGAGCGACCCGCTTGGACTGCGGCGACCGCCGCACAGGCCCGTTCATGCCACGTGGCATCAGCCGCTGAACCAGCGACTGCGCGGCCATGGGTAAGAGGCTTTGACGCGGGCCCACAGGTTCTTTGTACACGGCCCGCGACTCGCTCCTCCCAGGATCCTGCTGCCCCTCCTCCCCTTCTTCCTCCTCCTCCTCCCCTTCCTCCGTATCTTTCCCGCTACCAGCGGCTCCTTGGGATCTCCTCGCGTCGTTCGGGTGATTCGGATCCTGCCACGCTGGCATGCTAATTCCGCCATCCACGGCGTGAAAGCCGCGAGGATATGATCCAGACGGAACGCCTTCTCTACTGCCGAAGCCAGCCGCGGCGCGGGAGAGGGAGTTAGCGGCGGGATGTATCCGTTGCCGTTTGGCGGGATCGGAGGTGAGCGGCACGACGTTGCTGAGTAACTTCAAGAACGAGCCATGATCCGCACCGGCGTCGCTAGCTGGTTGCTGTGCGAAAGGCTGCGACGCGCCTGACGACATTTTCTTTCGCTTACGGTCGCTTAGGATTCCCACGGGAAGCGGCGACGGCTCGGCCTCCTTCATGCGAAGAGCTCGCTCTTTCCTCTGAGACGAAAGACCCACCATTGCAGAGGGTGTGAGGAGCGAGAGACGAGGTAAATTGTGCTGACGGACTAGAGGCTCTCTTTGATGAGTCTCGGGATGAAAAAGTGACGAATCTACTTTCTAACCGCTTCGCTATGTAACTGATCGATAAGAAAAATCGATATGAAGCCGCCGAACCGCGAGTGTGGTTAATTGGCAGGATGGAGGGGAGCGACGGGAAAAGGACTTGCGGGCAATGCGAAGTTAGGGTGTGGAGTAGCAAGAACACCACGGGAGTTCATTATACGAGGACCTTGGAACGGAAAAAAATAGCAATCACGAAATGATTGGCGCGACCACCTGACGCACCCGCCATGGAATTGCTCCGACTGGAGGTGGCTGTGGAAACCGATCCAGCAAGAACTGAGGGACTTCTAGCGTTGCTGTCGGTGCGCGGCGTGCCTTGTGGATGAGGTGATGGGATGGATGCACCAGTGAACATCCCGTGAGGAAACTGCATTCTTGGGGTAAGGCGGGGCGACAGCAGGCAGTAGGCAGTGAGGAACGAGCAGCAGACAGTTCCCAAGGAGCCAAGGCGGATCCGTCCTCTCGGGGAAGTCGCATGGTGCGCGAAACTCTGGCTGACCCTTCGGATTTGCGGCTGCGATGGAGGGAAATGATTGGCTCGCAGCATGTCCCCCCAAACCAACCCAACCTCGATTTCAAACTTTCAATAGGTTCGAATTCCCTTTATGGTACACTCGATATCGAGGCATGGATATTTCAAACCTAGGAGGGGGTTGTTTGAGACTTGATAAACACAAATGTGATCCCGCCAGCTTTGCGAAACACGCCGAGCAACCCTCCCCTGCGCGCCCGCCAGCCCAAAGCTTGTCAGAACATACATGACTCTTTTTGGCCACCTCCCCCAGGCACACTACTATCTTGCGATCACCCCGAGCTGGTTATCGACAGCGCGAAATTCAGGGAGCATACTGATTCCTGGCAGTCACTTTCACTGTCGGAGCATCAGAACTCACGTGGAATTTGTCAGTCGCTGACCCATTCAAGAACTTCGGGATTCATTTCCTGATATCAAGCTCTTTCTTCAACCATCCCAGGTCGTCTGTTTCCACGGATTTACCTTGGCTTCCTTGCCTACCATTCCACCATCCAATCTCCACCTCAACTGTGTGTCGGGCCTAGGCAAGGCAACGCACAACCATCACGGGAAACCAATTTCACGCACTGTACGCTTTCTTACCGCCGTGCCCTCCAAGTGTTATCTATATTCCATTAGCCTCATCCATTCTGCCTTGCGCACCTCCCATTTTCGGTCTTGTATAATGAGTACACTTGCCATAACTGTTTATCGTGCTCTCACAGCTGATATTTTATTGCGTTCTCTGAAACTCTCTTTCTCGTGATCCCCACTTGGTGTTATCATCTCCTCTCCTTGCAGCAGCATCAGCAACGACTTCTCCCCGTTCTAACCAATCCTTCCGCTTACATCCTCCCTCCTCTCCATCCCACCCTTTCCGTCCCTCCCTTTTCCACCACACACCCTCCGTAACTTCCTCTAAGTCCATCCTTCCGCCCGCCTCCACTCTTCCTGCCATCGCATGGGCCTTATCAGCTTCGCAAAGCGCTGTCTGCTCCAGCTCCTGCTCTCCCTCGCAATTTTCTTCACCCCCATCGTCTGGGCCACTGCTTCAGACAAATCTCTATTCTCCCTCGGCATCGCCCTCGCCAGCTCTGCTGTCTTCTACTTGCTACTGCCGTGGGACCTCATCCCCAATTGGTTGCCTTTGATTGGCTGGGTTGATAACTTCTTTGCGCTGCTTGTGCTCTTTGGTGGGGGGCTTTTGGCCGGAGTTGGGCTGGCCGTGTCCATGGAGGATTGATAGGCGCAGCGCAGCCCATGCAGTGCCTTCGGTAGGCAGCATGTTATGAGTTCTCAAACAGAGTTGCGCGGAATAACGAATAACGAGGCTGTGACTCAATGGATTCACGATACAATGAAAGACATGCGATTATATAGCGAGGCAACCTAACTAGGCGGGAACCTCGGGAACACGAGGTTGAGTGCAGGTTGGGCAAAGGAAAGCCGAAGGCGACGCGAGGTTGCTTCGGCAGCAAGCAAAGCGGCCGAACGTGCACTTCCGAAAGTTGGGGTTGTACGCGGTTGAGTAAACCCCAGTAAGGAAAAAGGGTTTTTCCTGTCAGAATGAGGAATGAATGATGCATTGATGTTGGTTGGGGTACATATAGCTAACCCTAAGTTTTGTACCCCCTAAGACAAACCTCACTATAGGCTACAACATTTGACACACCCCCATAGCCTAAGTGAGGGGTGTCTAGCAGAACCAAACGAGTACGGTCACAAGACCAGTCCAAGAAACGAAGCTCAGGGTGGATCACAACGTCACCACACAGTCTGAGCACAAACAACAGTGGCCACAAGGCCAGTCCAAGAAGTAACAGAGGTATATAGAAAGCAAAGTAAACAGTACACTCAAGTCTAAGCAACACGAGAACCAGTGTCAACAAGGCCTAACTGCACACAGCACCTCTGGTGGTCACAAGGCGGAAGCGCCTTGGTGAAGATGTCTGCAGTGTTGGCCTCGGACTCCACAAACTCAAAGCGAGCCTGTCCACGCCTCTGCAACTCTCGCAGAAGAAAGTACCTGACGTGAATGTGCTTCACTCTGCTCTCCAGTCGTGGCTCTCGACAAAGGAGAATAGACGCCTTGTTGTCAGTGAACAAGGTCGGTGCAGAGCTCGGCCGCTCACCAAGGTCGGTGAGCAAGAAGGTCAACCAACGCAGCTCCTGTGCCGCCATGGCACCAGCGTAGATCTCAGCCTCAGCTGTAGAGGTCGAGACCGAAGAGGAGCGCGTGGACCGCCAGGAAACAGCTCCAGAACCCAGGCTGAAACAGTACCCCTGAGTAGACCTGTGAGTCTCAGCGTCGTCAGCGTAAGAGGAGTCACAGTGACCAGTAAGTACGACAGACTGCTGCCCTCCAAGAACTAGCCCCACGCCTGACGTCGTCGCTAGGTACTTCGCCACCCTCACAGCTGCTGTCCAGTGAACAGGACGGTGTCTCCCTGGCGCAACAAAGCGCGCAAGAACGCTGAGAGGGAAGGCGAGGTCCGGGCGAGTACAAGTCATCAGGTACATGAGGCAACCCACAAGCTCAGCGTAGGGACCACTAGGCTCGAACGGCTCGTCAGGAAAGGGTCCAGTGAGTCTGTGGTCAACAGCAAGAGGTGTGCGCTGTACTGTGGAGTGCTGAAGCCCGAACCGCTGAAGGACCTGCTGCACCATGTGCGACTGTGAAAGTGTAATGGTGCGAGCAGCTCTGTCCCTGGTGATCTGCAGGCCAAGGTAGTGGCGCAGCTCACCAAGATCAGTGCAGGTGTGTCTCTTCTGCAGTTCGGACTTCACGTGTGCCAAAGCAACCCTGTCAGGGGTGGCGAAAACAAGGTCGTCAACGTAGACCAGAACAAAGAAAGGTGTGGGGCCACGACGAACGAACAGCGACGGGTCAGCAGAAGACGGCTGGAACCCAAGGTCAGACAGGGTAGAACGCAGGGTGTCGTGCCACTCACGAGGAGCCTGACGAAGTCCGTAAACCGGTCGCCTCAGCCTCCACTGGGTCCCAGGAGGGAAAGAGCCAGTGAAGGCAGAGGGACGACGCAACCAGACCTCCTCGTGAAGACTGCCCTGAAGGAAAGCAGTAGAGAAGTCGAGAGAGTGTAACTCGTAGTCTCTCTGTGCTGCTACGTGTAGTAACACCCGAAGAGTGGTCATCTTCGGGGTGGGCGCGAAGGTCTGAAAGAAGTCAACTCCCTCGCGCTGACTGAAACCTCTAGCCACGTAGCGCGCCTTGAAGACCGGAGGAGATCCCGGTGGCCGCTTCACCCTGTAGATCCACATGCCGTCGACTACGTTCGCCCCCGGAGGGGGAACCTCATCGACGTAGGTGCCTATGGATCTGTAGGAGGCCATCTCTGCGTCCATGGCAGCTCTCCACTGAGAGGCCCAAGGCCCTGACACTGCCTCAGCGTAAGTGCGAGGAGTCGGAATGTCAAGGGCGTCGGGGTCACCCTCAGGGGCGAGGAGCATGGCACAGAGATGAGGGGAAGCGGCCGCCAGGAACTCTAGCTCAAACTGCCTGTCCTCTAGGGCGTCACAGCCAAGGGCAGACACACCCCCGACGGCCAGAGGACTGGAAGGAGGAGCAGCCACAAGAGCGGTGGCGAAGTCAAGGCGGCGGGTAGAGGCAAACTCAGTGACTGCGGCAGTAAGAGCGGACACAGAGGACACAGAGGCACGAGGGTGGGTAACAAGAGAGGCGAGAACACGAGAGAGAACAGGACGGTACGTGCGGTAGTAGTCAGTGACAGGAGAAGGAAGCGACACAGTGAGGGCCGACTCAGGAGGAGACGGAAGCACAGACGGAGACGGACGAGGTGGACGAGAACAAAGGAAGGCTGTACGAAGGTCAGTGAAGGGAACAGGAGACGAGGGACGAGCACGAGGGGAGCGACGAGAGGCCCAAGTCTGAGAAGGAGGAGGAGACAACGAAGACTGAGAACGAGGGAAAACAGCGGGAGAGGGGTCAGGAGGAGGAAGCGGAGGACCAGAGACGGGAGGAGAGGGGGAGGAGGAAGGAGAGGGAGACGGGAGACCAAGGGTCCGAAGACCCGAGACAGGAGGAGGAGACGGCAGCAGCTGCTGCTGCTGCTGCTGCGGCTGCTGCGGCTGCTGCTGCTCCAGCGGCTGCTGCCTCTGCTGCTGCTCCTGCTGCTGCTCCTGCTGCTGTCGCTCCTGCTCCTCGAGCCGCTGCAACTCTCTCTCCTCTCTCTCCAACTCCAGCTGCTCCTCACGAGCACGGCGAACACGAGCCTGGAACCTGGTCGGGTAGGGGTGGGGGGAAGGAGTAGTGTCCGGGGCAGCGGCAGCCCCAGAGTCGACCTCCGAAGCACCAAGCACACCACCCCCAGAGGCAGCACCAACACCAGCTCCAGACCCAGGC